AAACTAGCGACCCGCCCCGGCTTCGCACGGTGCAATTATTATACATATAAACCTTTCTTAAGAATCACTCTATCTATTAAAAAAAACACATCGAAATCCGTTGCGTAGTTTTAAAGATATAAGCATACATACGGACAGACAGACGGCCGATAGCGGCTTTGTTTTATACTATGTAGTAATACTGCTGCCGAAAGCCGGAGCGTAGGCCGGCCTCTCGCTAGGTGGACCGACGACATCGCCAGACTTGCGGAGAGCCAGTGGATGCAGGTGGCGAGTTGTCGTTCGACGTTGAGGACTGAGGGGGATGCCCTTGTCCAGCAGTAGACGTGTTATAGCTGTTGATGATGATGATGATCGCTGCCCAATGTATTATTGTATTACACCCTGTGGCGAAATTAGTACCTCAACATTAGTTTTAGTCATATAGAGATTCTGTCAATAATCTAGAACCTAGATCGGTGCTGAGACTTTGTATCACTTGTTAGTTTTGTCTGTAAATCGGTTATTGCTACTCCTGTAGTCTAATAAAGGACCAGCCCACCACAGATGGGGCCCAATAGGGTTGATGCTCGATACGAAGCCGCGAAGATCTTAACGGGTTGCCGGGGCTCCGGCTCTAAGAGCAGGAGTAGGAACGGGGTGGGTTTTAGTCAGTAAGAGTTTGACACTCCCTCCCGCCTCACCCAGGCGGGAGAAGGCAATGGAAGATTTTCCCCCTCAAAAAAAAGGAAAGGATTTTTAAAAATTTTGCTAAATCTTTATATATATAATTCTTCTGTGAGTGTGTATGTCACTGAACATCTCACAAACGACTGGACCGATTTTGATGAAATTTTTTGTATGTGTTCAAGGGGATCTGGGAATGGTTTAGATTCACAAATCAGCCCGGCAGATGGCGCTGCAGTAGATGTTTAGGTTATTTATCCTAAACAGCTGAACTAATTTGAATGAATTTTTGTTTATACATTCAAGTGGATATGCAGGACAACGTCTGTTGGGTCCGCTAGTAATATTATAAAAAGCTCGTTTTAGACGACTATGAAATTCACAGAAACGTTCCATTTTTTATTTTAGTATTCTGTTACCAATTGTTCACGTAGGTACGTCACGGATCCCTAAAACTGGGACATCCGTCACACAGGGCACACCTGGACTCAAACCCGTAAAACAAAGGGCGACGACAATACTCTCACATGTATTATACATTGGAACTTTACAGTGTGGGACAAGTTACGAGGCGATAGCGAATTGCGTACTATTTTTTTGTGTGTGGTAAATAGTAAGTACGTGATACTTTCGAAGCTTTAATGGCTAACTTTGCCTACCACTTTTTAGAAGTAAAATGTTATGTTTGTCTATGTGTTATAATATTGCATGTGCAATGTTTCTGTGAACTGCCTCGATGGCCGAGTGGTCGCAACTGCGACTACCAGGCAAAGGGTCTCGGGTTCGATATCCGGGTCGGGCAAAGTATTACTGGATTTAAAAAAAAACTCTTAACCGCTTCCTCTTATACCTTAGACCATACCCACAATCCGTAGAATTCTTTACAGCTGTAAATTAGGTTCAGAAAAATAGAACAAAAGGCCTTATTGGTACCTAGGTTAGCATTGAATACTAGACGTAGACCTATTATGCCTAGATTTCATTGTTTTAGCCCTAACCTAAGCTATTATTATGGCGACCCTTTTGATTTGTGGTTTGGAGTGTGAATTATTATTATTTATTTAAAAAATGGGGTCGTTTCTTATTGTTCTTTACTTGTGTTGGTCTGTGGTTTCGATCACACTTTAATAAAACTACATTCATATTTATAATAATAACTATCGTGAGACATACTAAATTAACTAAAAATCGCGGGGTTACTCATGTAACATAAACTAGTAGAGCTTTTCTCAGTATATTCACGCGAGGAACCTGCGATTTTTAGTTAAAACTACATTGTTTTTATAATAACTATCGTGAGACATACTAAATTAAGTAAAAACGCGGGTTACTCACGTGAATATACTGAGAAAAGCTCTACTAGTTTCGAACCACAGAGGGGTTCTTCCTCATGAGCAGCGTGCGCGGTCGCGGCGACGTCGCGCAGCTCACTGGCTGGCGTTGGCGCTCGCCTCGGTGTTGCCACCTGCGCTGCGAGCCCAACGCGCCCTCTGTCGGACACTACGAGCGTTTGCTTCCAACTCCGGCAGCGCGTTGGACGAAGCTAAAGCGCACGGTACGTTCACCAGCGGCGCGGGTCGTGGGTTCGATTCCGGGTTCGGCACAAAGTCAGTGTTGCATATAACGCTTACTGTGTCACACTCCAGACTGGAGACGCTGTGGATCGACGAAGACTCCAAGCTCGGCTTCCACGCGGGTGGCAGTGCCCAGCCACCATCCCTGTTGAAGCACGGTCGTCGGCTGATCTCGATGGCCTCTCGCACTTTTCGCGGAACGAAGTATTTTTCTCTCGCTAGTACGGAGACCTTATCAAAACGTATGAAGTGAGCCGCGTCCGTACCACAAACATGTTCAGCCACTGCCGATGCCTGGATGTCCATCTTCTTCACGCTGCGTATATGTTCCTTTAGCCTGGTTGTGATGTTGCGACGAGTTTCCCCGATGTAACTCGAGCCACAGTCGCACGGTATTATGTACACTCCGGGTACAGCCAGTGGATCCTTATCTTTAGGTGAGCGTAGTAGTTGTCTTAGCTGACCGGGTGGGCGGAAGATCGTCCTGATGCAGTATTTACGGCGAAGCAGGTGTCCGATTCTGTCGGTTACTCCTTTCACGTATGGTAAGAACGCTGGAGTCCGTTCCGCAACTGCCGGTCGCTTCCTACTCGAGCTGCTCGCAAGTCGAGTACATTGACGCCAGTTGTATCCATTGTTTTCCAGTACCCGTTTTAAGTGGTGAAATTCGTCGTCAATATACTGGGGATCGCATAGACTCAGCGCCCGGTTTATCAAGGTAGTGCACGGCAGTATACAATTCACCACTGAAGAAGAGAGAGAAGGGATGTTGCCGTTCTTGGATGTCCTCGTAAGACGAGAAGAAAATGGTCGATTGTCACACACAGTGTATCGTAAACCGACACACACGGACCGGTACTTGCGAGCTGACTCACACCATCATCCCTCCCATCTAGCCGCTGTTCCCCGGACCTTGATAAACCGGGCGCTGAGTCTATGCGATCCCCAGTATATTGACGACGAATTTCACCACTTAAAACGGGTACTGGAAAACAATGGATACAACTGGCGTCAATGTACTCGACTTGCGAGCAGCTCGAGTAGGAAGCGACCGGCAGTTGCGGAACGGACTCCAGCGTTCTTACCATACGTGAAAGGAGTAACCGACAGAATCGGACACCTGCTTCGCCGTAAATACTGCATCAGGACGATCTTCCGCCCACCCGGTCAGCTAAGACAACTACTACGCTCACCTAAAGATAAGGATCCACTGGCTGTACCCGGAGTGTACATAATACCGTGCGACTGTGGCTCGAGTTACATCGGGGAAACTCGTCGCAACATCACAACCAGGCTAAAGGAACATATACGCAGCGTGAAGAAGATGGACATCCAGGCATCGGCAGTGGCTGAACATGTTTGTGGTACGGACGCGGCTCACTTCATACGTTTTGATAAGGTCTCCGTACTAGCGAGAGAAAAATACTTCGTTCCGCGAAAAGTGCGAGAGGCCATCGAGATCAGCCGACGACCGTGCTTCAACAGGGATGGTGGCTGGGCACTGCCACCCGCGTGGAAGCCGAGCTTGGAGTCTTCGTCGATCCACAGCGTCTCCAGTCTGGAGTGTGACACAGTAAGCGTTATATGCAACACTGACTTTGTGCCGAACCCGGAATCGAACCCACGACCCGCGCCGCTGGTGAACGTACCGTGCGCTTTAGCTTCGTCCAACGCGCTGCCGGAGTTGGAAGCAAACGCTCGTAGTGTCCGACAGAGGGCGCGTTGGGCTCGCAGCGCAGGTGGCAACACCGAGGCGAGCGCCAACGCCAGCCAGTGAGCTGCGCGACGTCGCCGCGACCGCGCACGCTGCTCATGAGGAAGAACCCCTCTGTGGTTCGAAACTAGTAGAGCTTTTCTCAGTATATTCACGTGAGTAACCCGCGTTTTTACTTAATTTAAAACTACATTCGTATAATTTTAGATTTTAATTTCATATCGTGGTAAGGTCGGTACACACTTAAGTTTTGACATGTTCCATTAAAAATTTATGGTGTAGTAGACAAATAAAAATACGCAATTGATTGTTCACCAAAATTTAAAAACAAAAACAAAAATTGATTTATTTCAAATTTGTTTTTATAATGACTATCGTAAGACATGCTATATTAACTAAAATTCGCGGGTTACTCACGTGAATATACTGAGAAAAGCTTCACTAGTACCTACAATACAGGAGTCTGCGCCGCGACCGCGCACGCTGCTCATGAGGAAGACCCCTCTGTGGTTGGAAATTAGTAGAGCTTTTCTCAATATTTGCACCTGACTAATTCGTGATTTTCAGTTTATTTAAACCTTAATTAACACATTAGAGTTACTACAATTGAACTGGATTTAATGCCTTAGGTAGGCAATGTCTATTGTCTAACAATCGACATGTAGGTATTACGTCTGTTTAGTCAACTATAATTACCTAAGTTGAAGTTAACCTAAACAGATGAAGTGTTCATCGTGAACCTAACGGGTAACTGGGGCTCCGGCTCGATGTGCAGGAGAAGGAACGGGGTGGTTTTTAGTCAGTAAGAGTCTGACACTCCCTCCCGCCTCACCCAGGCGGGAGCAGCGATTCGATGATTTTCCCCCCTTAAAAAAAATGCACTTCATCGTTCTAGACATAAATTACGATTTTTCTTAAATATTAGGTACAATAGACATCTTGAAGAACTATTTTATCACATCTTAAACCTATTTTTTATCATTTTCTCATTATATATATAACCTGTAGATTTACCGTATATAATATCTACTTTCCCCTATTTCCAGGCGGCGGCTGCAACTTCCCAGAAGGCTGGACGGGAGGCTGGTTCCAGTCGGGCATACCAGGACTCATCTACATCAACTCCACCACCATGCAGGGCAAGGGGGACTGCGCTGAAACAGACTCCAATGATAAGTTCCTGGTTTACGACAGGTAATGTAATACTTAAGTATTCATTATCGTATCGAAAGATGGAATCGAATGATTCGAGTGCACGACTTACAAAATAAACGATGTTCTTACCGACTAATTGGGCATGGTATGACGTCTCTGTCCTCAAAGTTATGCGTCCCGGTGTGACTCGAAATTGATAGAGCTTCTTTTCATTAATTCCATTTAATATATCTCATGACCCTACCTGCCGGCCACCTGACTCCTACAGGAGGCAAGTTGCCGCATAGTATTTTTTAACGTCGTCCCACACTATGATTTTCTCTTGTGTCGTGGGTGCGTTTACAAACATATAACTTCACATACACTTGACACCCAGACCCGGAACAACAAACTGTGGATCATACTTAAAGAGTTGCACCGTGCGGGCATCGAACCTTAGAATACTTTAGATAATAATATCTACCTAAAAATAATAACACTTGACTAATCAAATCTACAGAGCGAACGAATAAAAATCTATAATATTGCTAGATGCGTACATCGAAATATAATTGTTTCGGAAGCTCGGAACCAATACTTTCGCCGGTAACGAAACCACGTAACCACGTTGTGTTTTTTAAGTATTATTACATATAAAACAGCAAATAAATGAGTCGAAAAGTGCACCGAATAAGTGTAGATGAACACCAAATAAGCGCTATAGATTAAAGCGTGAAATTTCCAATTAGTAGGTAATTCGTTGAATTGTTTAAAATGGCATACAGCGCCATCTATAAGAATACACACAGCGCCATCTATACCCATATTTTTGTTGTCCCTCGGGAATATCACATTTTTCCGGAATAAAATGTACCCTATTATTTAATCTGGACTTCTAACTTTACGTCTGCAGAAATTCAAAGCAAAGTGAAAGCGGAACAAACAAACAAACTCACTTTCCGATTTATAATATTAGTAAGGATAGTCTATACTCATTTCTCTTATCTTTGTTAATTACCTGGTGAAGAATAAAGATTTTAGTTTTGTTCAACAGTTTCAATTTCATTTAAATATAAGAAGAAACCTATATAAAACCTACATAGTCAATATAGTATATTGTAGTTGGCTTTACGTCTTCAAAATTTCAAAGCAATCGGTTTAGTAGTTACGGCGTGAAAGCAGAACAAACAAAGTCACTTTCAGATTTATAGTATTAGTAAGGATGGTAGACCCAATGGATTATATTATTATAAAGCATTTAAAGTAAGAGTTCCCCTTCAGATGGTACAAAATTCCAACCTGTAGAATGTAAGAAGAACTTTTTGTTATTACATTATTATTATCTTTGACATTATTTTTATATGATTCCAGGAACGAAGACTGCTACAGATGTCTAGTTATACATGAAAAACACAAATACGTACTACAGTATAAAGAAAGTAAGTAAATAACACTATTTTCGTTCTTACATATAACATAACATCACGCCTTTTATCCCCGAAGGAGTAGGCAGAGGTGTACATTACGGCACTTAATGCCATTGTACAATTTAACACCCACTTTTCACTATTCATGTTATGAGTCCCATGTAATAGGGGGTGAGCCTATTGCCATGTACCGTGCCCAATTCCAGACTTCGTGCTACTACTGAGAATTTGGAAAAACTCAGTAATACTCTGCCTGACCCGGGAATCGAACTCGAGACCACTCGGCCAACGAGGCAATCAGTTATAACTGAGCTAATGATGAAATATAATGAATGATAAAGAACCTTTATCGTTACTCTTTTAATTAAAACAATCTTCGACTAATCTGATGACTGATGACTTATGCCATTACTTTTTTAATTTCAGCATACTGCAGAGAGCGAGACTCCCTATCAACAATGTGTGAGTCCATAACCGGGGACGCAGCCCTATACTCCATGTTCAGGAAGGAGCCCCGGCCGCTACCGGAGCCCTGTCCCTTCCATCCAGCGCCGTTCACATTTACTTACAGTCGGTTAGTAGTTAAAAGTTATGGGTTAGACAGATGACATCAGGACCGTCCTAGGTTACGCTGGGGCCTTTGGGCCCATAATCATACTGTACATAAGTCCCATGTAAGAGGGGGTGAGCCTATTACAATGTACCAGGCACAATTCCAGACTTCGTGCTACTACTGAGATTTAAAAAAAAACCTAATAATACTTTGCCTGACCCGGGAATCGAACCCGAGACCCCTTGCCTGACAGTCGCACTTGCGACCCGTGAATGTCAGCAATAACTGAGAATTTCGAATGGTAAACTGACTTTACTTTCAATTGTCGGGGCAGTCTAAAGACAAACTGAAAAATTATAACTAAAACTCATTTCACGTTGCATATTCTGCATTATCTATTACTGTAAATGACCTAAAAACTCTTGTAAATAAATTAAAATTAACCTAACACCAGATAATGTTTGATTACCGCACATTAATCAGGATTTAAATTAAACCTATTCATTGCGTTATTACTTGTTACGATTACCAAAGTACCCAATGATGAACTATAAAACTACTTGAGCGCCATCTAGTATTTGCAATAAATATGTGGTACTAATATATAAAATCATTTCTACCTTACAGTGGCTCGGGCGACTGCGCGAATCCGCCGTCTCGCGCGGAGTCGTGCACGGATGACTCGCGTCTGCTACTGCGGTACATGGCCTGTCCTGATGTGCCGGGCACTGAGAGCAACGGTATGTATCACAAAAATTTATAATAATCTATACAAATAATAAAATTGTAGAAACGTCAAAACTGTACATTGAATAATTATTTAAAAGAATACTTGAAACGTGATCTACAATCAATACCGTAGCCAAAAATATGGTGTTCAGAATTTTTGTCTGTTTGTCTGTATGTATGTCCGGGATGATCTCAAAACGTGCTGCATGGCTTTACTTCATATTTTGCATGTATATTACTAACAGGTCGGGTCAACATATAGGCTACATTTTATCACGCTATCATCTATGGGGGAGGAGCCCTAAACTAAGTACTGAATCAATTCTGACGACATTCGTTACCGTAGAATATCCCTTAATAAAGACTAATTCAAAACCATAAAATCTGCCAGAAGTCATTTTCTACGCGGACGAAGTCGCGGGCAACAGCTAGTAAAATAATAAAACAGCCTTTTACTTCTTGCAAGTTAATATATCAAATTCTACATAGACAACCCTACAATAAAGAAAAGTCAATATAACTTGCTTAAATAATCTGAACTTAAAAGAAAAATCATTTCAATTAACATTTTACGAAAACCAGTCTAAAAGGTAAAGATTGAAGTCGGTTATTTACAGAAATTTAATTGAATTCCAATCAAACAGCTGGCTTCTAGCAATATCTATACCTTTTCTGTCAAATACTATGAATAAACGTTATAATAATAATAATTCTTTATTTGCTCAATGTGGTACATGATATAGATGTTACATGCAATATATTTAGATCAGCACATTTAAGTACCATTATTGGCATGCAAATTGGTTACATTTAATCTTTACTGTAAAATTAAAATAAAATGTAGGTACTTACTTATGAAAGCTACAATTTTGGTACATAAACTACATTTCCTGCTCATATTTATTTCTTTCTTTAAAACTAAAACATTTACATTTGTTTTTTTCTAAAAATTCGTATAATTTTCTTTAATTAGCCATTGTTTTAATACATTACAAAATCCTTACTAATATTATAAATCGGAAAGTGAGTTTGTTTGTTTGTTCCGCTTTCACGCCGAAACTACTAAACCGATTGCTTTGAATTTTTGCAGACGTAAAGTTAGAAGTCTGGATTAAATAATAAGGTACTTTTTATCCCGGAAAAAATGATATTCTAGAGGGAAAACGAAATTATTGGTAAAGATTGCGCTGTGTACAATGTCACATAGGCTACTTTTTATCCTTTTGTGACGCGAGCGAAGCCCCGGGTAAAAGCTAGTTTCTTATGCGGAAGTTCAGTTATAGATTTAGTCGACGTATTATAAATTAGAGGAGCCATATTAATCTAAATCAATACAATCCGTTTAATATGATGGGTTATTTTTCCAGTTGAGGAGCTGATCTGCTTGGCCACATGGAAGGAAGGCTCCACGCGGTACCTGGTGGGTCTCATCTCACAAGTACAGAGAAGAAACTCGATCTCCACTGATGAGGATATGTACAGGTATAATCATATGATGTTTTTTCATGAATCTAAGAGGTATGTAAGAATCGTAGCAATTGGCGTTCCATAGTCTCTGCTTACCTCAATGGGAGACAGGCGTTAAGTTATGTATGTATGTATGTATTTTTTATAATTATAATCGACCTTGGAATGAGCAAATAGCTTCACTTTTAATTTTTTGTGTCGTTCAAAAGTGCCTTCCTGGTCTATATGATTTTGACTTCGAACATTCGTGTCCATATACCAACAACATAACATAACATCACTCCTCTTATTCCCGAAGGGGTAGGCAGAGGTGCACATTATGCCACTGTATAATGTAACACCGACTTTTCATTATTTATGTTATGAGTCCCATGTAATAGGGGGTGAGCCTATTGCCATATACCGGGCACAATTCCAAACTCCGTGCTACTACTGAGATTTTTTTAAAAACCCAATAAATCTTTGCCCGACCCGGGAATCGAGCCCGAGAACCCCTTGCTCGGCAGTCGCACTTGTGACCACTCGGCCAACGAGGCAGTTTAAATCAAAGTAAATCTTGGTTTTCGGCATGAACTGTATTCAATTTAGTTTAGTTCGTAATACTGTATTTCGTTCCCATTCCAGATGTTTCGTGTATAAAGGCCAGCACGCTGACAAGACAGTGACGTACACTATAGCACAGTCCGGCGACGCCACCTGCAATGGACTCACCTCTTCTGTTGACGGCAGTCGGACTATGAAGCTTACTAACAGTATGTATTGGTTTTTATAAGATAAGTGGGTTAACGAGCAGACGGATCACCTGGAACAACCAAGTGCGTTACCGGCCTATTGGGGATTAGGAATTTGAGGATTTTGGTTGATTCAGGGATTGGGGAGATTGGGGAGTGTGTAGGGGTAGTTGGTCCGGTAACCAACTAAAATTTTAATCCTAAACCTAATGACTCGGATCATCATCATCATCATCATCATAACGTCACGCCTTTACCCCCGAAAGGAGTTGGCAGAGGTGCACATTACGGCAATTAATGCCACTGTACAATGTAACACCAACTTTTCACTATTTACGTTATGAGTCCCATGTAATAAGGGGTGAGCCTATTGCCATATACCGGGCACAATTCCAGACTCCGTGCTGCGATTGTTGTTCCAACTTCGAACGCATTCTCACTTATCTTAGTTATATTTCAAGAGTTATCATGTAATTTTAATTATTATAAACTTAGTAAAATTATTATACTTTCCATTTGCACCTACCGTCGGTGGCAGATACATAATTAGCATGAAATTAACCAACAATTTATTATGTTAACTTTCAGTCGACGACGAACACAATCGATGTCACTTCCCGAGCTGGGTGGTGGAACACCACAAGTGGTTCAGTCTGGACCACACGCACCAGTACCATTTCACCACCAAGAACGCCACGCTCAAGGTAACAACATCATCATTAGGGTAGATGTAGAGGTCCACTGCTAGACACATGGCTCATTTATGACCTGTCACAATTAATCCCCTTTTTTTTGAGGGGGGATAATCATCGAATGACTTCTCCCGCCCGAGTGAGGCGCGAGGGAGTGTCAGACTCTTACCGACTAAAAGCCACCCCGTTCCTACTCCTGACCTTCGAGCCGAAGCCCCGGCAACCCGTTAAGCCCTCTGCGGCTCCGTGTCGACATCAGCCCCATGCCCCATCTGCGGTGGTCTGATGGCCACAATTAATCCCCTGCGGTCCACACCTAACAACCTCTGGGCTTTTAGCCAAACGCCACTTTAGCGCTTGTCTACAGATAGAGTAGAAATCAAAATGTATGGGGATGACACTGACAACTGTCAAAATTTACGTCAATTCCATATAATTTGGTTTTCTATTCTACAGTAGACAAGCGCTAAATGGCATTTGGCTACCGCTGCAGGTCACATTATTGCTTACGCTACCATCTACGGGGGAGGAGCTGTGAATCTTTATTTCTCTTACACATTCTGTGACCGCGTGTAATATTAACATGGTATTTTGTTTCGTCCCACAGATTATGAATGAAGACGGTTCGTTCGAAGAGAAGCGACTAGTGTGCCACTCTATCCTGGAACAGAAGGACAAACAATACGTCAAGCTGGTCGCACATCTCACTAGAGGATGGTAAGCAGAGATATATTGGGTTTTTTATATAATAAGAATTAATCTGCGTAATATCTGTATCTCAGTACCGGTATTCAACCTTTTTTTTATTCAATTTTAGAAAGAAAGGTAGGAAACACACATAAACTTAACAACTACAAATAATAATAATAATATATCAACAGCCTATAAGTGCCCACTGCTGAGCAAAGCCTCTTCCCACACGAAAGGTTTGAGCATTAATCACCACGCTTGCTCAATGCGGGTTGGCGATTTGGCGACAATGAAAGCAGTACTTCATACAGGACCGAACCGTACAGGTTCAGTAATTGTTTTAGCGTGAAGAACCGTCTCACCCTCCATAGAATACCCAACTTCCTACCAGCCACTTGCACTTTTGACTCATAGGAGCCAAAGTTGAGTGTGGGCGTCAGAATTTCACCAAGAAGCTCAAGATGATCAGTCATCGCAAATATATTCCGGAAAGTAGAAGTCAGCGGAAATTGACGTAGGATAGACACGCCTGGGTTTGGCTAGCGTTGAACTTGACCAAGTTGACATCACCCCAGTCGGAGACCGTTTTCAAGGACGAGTTCAAACACTCGACCATGGATTTTCTTAGAGACCGGATATGTTCCGCTAGTCATCGCATCAGACACATACCTTTCAACAACTGTGCTGTCATCTGCATACCCAAAGATACCGGGCTTAAGCAGGTCGTCTATGTGCAGCAAAAAGAGTAAAGTACTGACCCCTGAGGGACGCCGGCACTAATACCGAATTGGTCAGACGAGCAGCCATCGATGACTACTCGTATTGACCGATCGCTCAGGAAGTCTGCTATCCATCTGCACAGATCAGTAGGAAGTCCATATGCAGGAAGCTTCCCGATTAGACTGTTGTGCCAATCCCTGTCAAAGGCCTTCGAAATATCGAGGGAGACTGCCAATGCCTCCCCGTGCCACTCGATGGCCTCGCTCCATATATGAGTGGCATACGCAAGAATGTCCCCAGTAGATCGGTTACGTCGAAACCCGTATTGTCGATCGCTGAGGAGATGCCTTACCTTTATGTTTTACCTTCAAGGTATGCCAGGAGTCTATTGTTAAGTACACGTTCCATGCTCTTGTAGCAGACGACTGAATGGTTTCGGATGACCGAAATAGGGCCGGCGGGGTTTATGCTGGCCTCATTCAGATAACTTGATAGCATTCATGTGTAAAAGTAAGTTTGGTTCATGTGTACGTAGCTATTGTAGTAATAAATGTTAATTACAATATACAGGCTGTCCTTAAAGTCGATGATCAAAACGATTTCAGGGACATTCTGTAGATATCTCTAGTTCTTAATCATACATACATCATCATACATCAACAGCCTATAAATGTCCACTGCTGAGCTAAGCCTCTTCTCACACGGAGAAGGTTTGAGCTGTAATCATTACGCCTGTTCAATGCGGCTTGACGATTTCAAACTTATAATAATAATTAGAAATTATAACGAGTCCAGGTTTCCTCACGATATTTACCTTCACTGTTTGTCAGTGGTGTCTAGATAATCTTAGAAAGTACATATAACTCGGAAAAAGTCACATTGGTACTTGCATTTGGTAGGTTTCGAACGCATTCTCATGCATGGGAGGCGGGCGGCGTCTCGTCCGGGTCACTACGACCGTGTCATAGTAGTGAGTGTAATGATGGCCTTGGTGTTGCAGCGAGTCGGGGCACGTGTGTGTGTCGGCGTGGCGGCGCGGCGGCGGCGTGCTCGAACTACAGCTTGGCGCCGCACTACACGACGCGCCGCACCACGCCTGCACGCACGGACACTACGCGGCCCACGTCACGCTGCTGTGTAAGTACTATCTCAATATGTCCGCGTGGCGCCGCGCTGTGTAACTATATGTCGCACCACGCCTGCACGCACGGACACTACGCGGCCCACGTCACGCTGCTGTGTAAGTACTATCTCAATATGTCCGCGTGGCGCCGCGCTGTGTAACTATATGTCGCACCACGCCTGCACGCACGGACACTACGCGGCCCACGTCACGCTGCTGTGTAAGTACTATCTCAATATGTCCGCGTGGCGCCGCGCTGTGTAACTATATGTCGCACCACGCCTGCACGCACGGACACTACGCGGCCCACGTCACGCTGCTGTGTAAGTACTATCTCAATATGTCCGCGTGGCGCCGCGCTGTGTAACTATATGTCGCACCACGCCTGCACGCACGGACACTACGCGGCCCACGTCACGCTGCTGTGTAAGTACTATCTCAATATGTCCGCGTGGCGCCGCGCTGTGTAACTATATGTCGCACCACGCCTGCACGCACGGACACTACGCGGCCCACGTCACGCTGCTGTGTAAGTACTATCTCAATATGTCCGCGTGGCGCCGCGCTGTGTAACTATATGTCGCACCACGCCTGCACGCACGGACACTACGCGGCCCACGTCACGCTGCTGTGTAAGTACTATCTCAATATGTCCGCGTGGCGCCGCGCTGTGTAACTATATGTCGCACCACGCCTGCACGCACGGACACTACGCGGCCCACGTCACGCTGCTGTGTAAGTACTATCTCAATATGTCCGCGTGGCGCCGCGCTGTGTAACTATATGTCGCACCACGCCTGCACGCACGGACACTACGCGGCCCACGTCACGCTGCTGTGTAAGTACTATCTCAATATGTCCGCGTGGCGCCGCGCTGTGTAACTATATGTCGCACCACGCCTGCACGCACGGACACTACGCGGCCCACGTCACGCTGCTGTGTAAGTACTATCTCAATATGTCCGCGTGGCGCCGCGCTGTGTAACTATATGTCGCACCACGCCTGCACGCACGGACACTACGCGGCCCACGTCACGCTGCTGTGTAAGTACTATCTCAATATGTCCGCGTGGCGCCGCGCTGTGTAACTATATGTCGCACCACGCCTGCACGCACGGACACTACGCGGCCCACGTCACGCTGCTGTGTAAGTACTATCTCAATATGTCCGCGTGGCGCCGCGCTGTGTAACTATATGTCGCACCACGCCTGCACGCACGGACACTACGCGGCCCACGTCACGCTGCTGTGTAAGTACTATCTCAATATGTCCGCGTGGCGCCGCGCTGTGTAACTATATGTCGCACCACGCCTGCACGCACGGACACTACGCGGCCCACGTCACGCTGCTGTGTAAGTACTATCTCAATATGTCCGCGTGGCGCCGCGCTGTGTAACTATATGTCGCACCACGCCTGCACGCACGGACACTACGCGGCCCACGTCACGCTGCTGTGTAAGTACTATCTCAATATGTCCGCGTGGCGCCGCGCTGTGTAACTATATGTCGCACCACGCCTGCACGCACGGACACTACGCGGCCCACGTCACGCTGCTGTGTAAGTACTATCTCAATATGTCCGCGTGGCGCCGCGCTGTGTAACTATATGTCGCACCACGCCTGCACGCACGGACACTACGCGGCCCACGTCACGCTGCTGTGTAAGTACTATCTCAATATGTCCGCGTGGCGCCGCGCTGTGTAACTATATGTCGCACCACGCCTGCACGCACGGACACTACGCGGCCCACGTCACGCTGCTGTGTAAGTACTATCTCAATATGTCCGCGTGGCGCCGCGCTGTGTAACTATATGTCGCACCACGCCTGCACGCACGGACACTACGCGGCCCACGTCACGCTGCTGTGTAAGTACTATCTCAATATGTCCGCGTGGCGCCGCGCTGTGTAACTATATGTCGCACCACGCCTGCACGCACGGACACTACGCGGCCCACGTCACGCTGCTGTGTAAGTACTATCTCAATATGTCCGCGTGGCGCCGCGCTGTGTAACTATATGTCGCACCACGCCTGCACGCACGGACACTACGCGGCCCACGTCACGCTGCTGTGTAAGTACTATCTCAATATGTCCGCGTGGCGCCGCGCTGTGTAACTATATGTCGCACCACGCCTGCACGCACGGACACTACGCGGCCCACGTCACGCTGCTGTGTAAGTACTATCTCAATATGTCCGCGTGGCGCCGCGCTGTGTAACTATATGTCGCACCACGCCTGCACGCACGGACACTACGCGGCCCACGTCACGCTGCTGTGTAAGTACTATCTCAATATGTCCGCGTGGCGCCGCGCTGTGTAACTATATGTCGCACCACGCCTGCACGCACGGACACTACGCGGCCCACGTCACGCTGCTGTGTAAGTACTATCTCAATATGTCCGCGTGGCGCCGCGCTGTGTAACTATATGTCGCACCACGCCTGCACGCACGGACACTACGCGGCCCACGTCACGCTGCTGTGTAAGTACTATCTCAATATGTCCGCGTGGCGCCGCGCTGTGTAACTATATGTCGCACCACGCCTGCACGCACGGACACTACGCGGCCCACGTCACGCTGCTGTGTAAGTACTATCTCAATATGTCCGCGTGGCGCCGCGCTGTGTAACTATATGTCGCACCACGCCTGCACGCACGGACACTACGCGGCCCACGTCACGCTGCTGTGTAAGTACTATCTCAATATGTCCGCGTGGCGCCGCGCTGTGTAACTATATGTCGCACCACGCCTGCACGCACGGACACTACGCGGCCCACGTCACGCTGCTGTGTAAGTACTATCTCAATATGTCCGCGTGGCGCCGCGCTGTGTAACTATATGTCGCAGGCCAATTGTATATTGCATTACCGCTAGCCATTTAGAAAAGCAGGGCCTTTTTGTGATACGGCGACTGCACGGTTAGCCGTATTGTTAATGCGAAACGTTCTACAATATGACGGCATTGACGGTACACGTTTAGCCTCATTACAATTGTTTTACAATGAATGGTCTGGGTGACCATTATCATATTTTGTAGTATTAAAATGTAACGTTATTTCAAGATGGCGGCTATACATAGTGGTCTTGGGTGTCGTTTTCATCGTTTTCGAGTGTGGTATAACCGATAGTAGATACTATCAAAATATAAACTCAAGATGGCGGCTGCATAAAATTTTCATGATTTCGTCATGAGTGTCGTTTTTATGGTTACTGGGGGGCAATAAGTTTCAAAAATAAAAAAGACAAAGAATGTCATGTCCTATTTGTTACATTTTTATTTGTCGTCATAAAAATTATACAGAATACTCCAATTATTGTTGATCTGAAATATGATATTTTGTATTATTTTTAACCGATATACCTCATTCGTTCCAGCAACCTCCCTGTATCCGATGCGTTGTCCAATGCTGGGCCGCTACACAGTCGTGGACTCACTCGCCGACAGACGGAGGAGGCGGCAACAACTTACTATTGGTAAGATACACTTTCATTAAATTTATTGTGCTTTTTTGAGGGGGGAAACTCATTTAATGACGTCTCCTCCCTCCTTGGATTATGCGAGAGGGAGTGTCAGTGTCAGAGTATAACTGACTAAAAATAACTCTGTTTTTACTCTTGCTTTTCGAGCCAGACCCCGGCAACCCGTTAGGCTTTCCATGGCTCCGTATCACGCGACAGCCCTACTGGGCCTCATCCGTACTGGTCTGGTAGCTCTATGAAGGCGAGCGCGAACGCTCGGCGCCGTATACTCGGGTCTGGGTCTAGTCGGGCGGTGATCACTTACAATAACTACCTCCATTATGGTGGTCGGAGATCGGCACGCGATCTCCGACGCCCGGAATGTCTCCCGTGACGATTTACCAGTCATTTGACAAAAGCACTAATTATTAACGACCATCTACTCAACAATATGTACTGTATAGTATAACAAACATTTCTGTTTGGCTCCCAGACGACGCGACCGGCGAGGAGGCGGCGGAGAAGCCCGTGGAGTGCGTCATGGGCCAGTACGACAGCGCCAGCGTGGGCTGCGGGGCCGCGCAGGACACCATCGTCTTCCAGTCCGCCTGCACCACCACCGGTACCTTACTTCACTTTCTATGGGACTTACAATAGGCGTGTCGACAGGGTAAAAAAAAATCAAAAAAGTAATTAGTCCGTCATTAAGATCGCACGAAAATATCAGACACGTATTTTTTGTTTTGTCAAATTAACAGAAGAATACGTAGTTATTCCGCATTAAAGTTAGGGAGTGGGGGGTGTTGACGTCACACTTACGGAGAAATCGTACCTAAGTGTGACGTCACGCGTCATTTTAACTCAAAATATCTACATGTTTTTTTGGATACGAGAAAAAAGAAAAAATACGTATCGAAGATTTTTAAAATATCTAAAAGA